TTTTATTTTTATTTTTATTTTTATTTTTATTTTTATTTTTATTGTCCGTATAGTTCCATACACCTGCGTCATCATCATCACGCTGCTCTTTATTTAAGCTCCTCCCCAAACACAAAAAGCTGCAAATGGACTGGTCCACAGAGAGAGAGAGAGAGACAGAGAGAGAGAGAAGCGCAGGTTGCCGTTATCTCACACACACACACACACACACACACACACTTACACAGCGCGTGTGACGGGTCTACCGACTGTCGATTCTTCTCGATGTTTCTGACAAACACCGGTAACAGGTAAGAAAGCTTTCAAACCGCCGATTCGCAGAACCGACAGTGTTCGGTTTGGACCGGGATCTGCCCCGGTAAAGTGTCCAGGTGAAGGTCGATGTCCTGCCGGACAGTGAACTTGAACCTGAGGAATCGAACACTTCGTAGACAGACGTTGAAGGAACGAATTTTTAAATTATTTTGTGCAACTTTTTCTGCCAGTGTTGTGGTCCATAATGCCCTTCGAACGGGAGGTGAGGTGAGCGGGGTCTGCGCTGTTATCCCCCCGGGACGCGGTGCACCGCAGCGGGACTGACTGTCACCGCGTCCCGCCCCCCTCCTCTCTGTGTTTACCTTATAGTTTCTTTCCGCTTTTTTTGTCGTCGGGTTTGTGGTCCTGCAACATGGAGGTTATCGTGGTGATGATGAAGATGATGATGATGATGATTATGTAAGATGAGAGAGGGGAGGATGGAGGGAGAGAGGGGAGAGAAGGAGGGAGGATTAAGGAGAGTTTTACGTAACACCCCCTCAAACTGCCTACACTGAAATATCGGCTGACATTCACTAACACTGAAATCCATCCATCTGTCCATCCATCATCCATCCGTTCATCCATCCATCCATCCATCTATCCATACATCCATCCATACATCCATCCATCTGTCCATCCATCATCCATCCGTTCATCCATCCATCCATCCCTCCATCATCCATCCATCATCCATCTATCCATCCATCATCCGTCCATCCATCCATCATCCATCCACCCATCCACCCACCATCCATCCATCATCCATCTATCCATCCATCATCCGTCCATCCGTCCATCCATCCATCCATCATCCCCCCATCCATCCATCGTCCACCCATCCATCATCCATCCATCCATCATCCATCCGTTCATCCATCCATCCATCCCTCCATCATCCATCCATCATCCATCCGTCCATCCATCATCCATCCGTTCATCCATCCATCCATCCATCATCCATCCATCCGTCCATATTTCAATCTTAATTTTTCATCCTGAAAAATCCCTCTCTTCTGTGTTCCGTAAATGCTATGGCTAACAGTTAGCTACACATTCGCTCAGAAACTTAGCCAAACGACTGTAGCCACGACTCGCTCCGTGAATTTCTCCCACTCGAGTCCTCAGGTCAGAGGTCACGTCGGTTATATTTGTATTGACAGTATAAACTACTGTCCTCCGGGTGGCTGATGTTGATCAACGTGCGTCGTTGCCAGAGGTGTCACGACTCCATAATAGCCAAAACGCAGACGCAACCAATAGAATGATCAACCATGTGATGGAGTGAGGGGTCCCCAAGTGGAACAGTAATCAGAGGTTGATCTTGTCTCAGATGGAGGGAGAACCAGAGCCACGCAGAGCTCTGGCTTTTTTGGGAAGTCGGTCTCTGAGAAGCAGTTGTCATGGAAACATGAGCAGCATCTCTCTCTCTCTCTCCCTCTCTCTCTGTCTCTCTCTCTCTCTGGGTGTAGAACTGAGGAGTGTGACACCAACAACTACACACAATATGTCGTCGTTGTCGTCCCCTCTGTGACACTGACGGTCGACTGACACCAGAGTCAGACGGTGTCTTTGTCTCCGTCCCACTGGACTGGATAATGGACCTCTGGAAACAACTGCTGGTACAGAGGCTGGTATATGTGATGGTACAAGTGATGGTACAGGCCATGGTACAGGGGCAGGTACAAGTGATGGTACAGAGGCAGGTACAGCTGATGGTACAAGTAATGGTACAGGGGCAGGTACATGTGATGGTACAGGGGCTGGTACAGGTGCTGGTACGGGTGATGGTACAAGTGATGGTACAGTGGCTGGTTCAAGTGTTGGTACAGGTGCTGGTCACAAAACCACTGGTTTCTGATGATAACAAACCGAAAACCTGGTCCGACCCTGGAATCTGACCAGTGACCTTCTTTACTCTTCCACTGGTCAAAACCAGTGACTGTATATTATGGATTATTACAGTTCAATATATGAGCAAAAAAGACGGTTCTCATATATATATATATATATCTTTATCTGTATTTATACATAAATATATTGATATATTTACTATATATGTTTTGACATCACAGTGTATTACGATTGTACATTTGTAAATATAAAGAAAAACAACCTTTTTTCCCGTATACTGCTGGAACATCATCAACTCCCAGCATGCATTTGTGGAGGCTCAACCTCAGGTCAGCGGCCCATCTTGTGTCAGAGCAGCCTGACTGGGGTCAGGACAGTGAGTCAGAGATTTTCCCAGATTAATAATCCCAACATTTGGATTAGTCACGGATGAGAAACACAGGTGAGAAACAGTGACCTCTACCTGCTGATGTTGGTATTTCTGTTCCTGAAATAGACATTTTTTAGAGGTCATAGCTCAAGGAATGTTGATTTATCTTAAATTATAACAATGAATTGGGATTAACCTTTAACCTTTTTTTTTTGTATTACACGTATTTCTTGTATTTAACCTAAAATATAAACATAAACCTCCACAGAACTCTTCCAGGTGGCTTTAGGTCTGGATCAGAACCACTGAAGGTTTTGATAAGGTCTGTTTTTCAGGTTCCAGGTTCAGGTCTTAATTTGTGGTAAAACCAGGTATTGAACGTCCGACGTTCGTGCTCTAGTGCAGTTCCTGAGCGTTTCACACTGATGTGTGGGCGCTGTCCTCTATTCCTGGACTCATGAGTCATCTTCACTCATGTTATACAACCAGAACTTTGACAGTCCTCACACTTACACCACATCCTGGAGCCCTCTGATATATGTCCGATATATGTCACATATGTCACATATGTCTGATATATGTCCGATATGTCTGATATATGTCACATA